TAAAGTATCAGTGTTTGATGAGAAGTCAAGGGTCAAAGATTTGCATTAGTTGTGTGTGTCTCCCACAGAGACCACAGTCCCTTGCTTAAACCCACTCAAATTAACATTTCCCCAAAACCCTCTCCTCACCAAGCACTATGCGTCCCACTTGGGTGCGGTCTTACCTGCCTTGGTGCACGCTCCACCTCCCAGCTCCTCCTCCTCCTCCCACGAGGAATGGAGGTCCCACCTTTCTCTTCTCATGCATTCTCCCTCCCCCTCCCCCCTCCCTCCTCCCTCCTCTTAATTTTAAATAGTTATATTAAAAAAAATTTACCAAAAAATATCTAACAATTGATTTTTACATGATTAGAAACACCTTCCAAGCTCAACTTGACTTGGTTGGTAGAAGAGCATTACTAGTTTTCCACAAATTCAAATTCAGTATATATTGTTTACACATAATAGAGGGAGAATAGAGAATTTGAACCCACCATTTTCATTTTGAAGGGATTAAGTTGGTGTTTGACAAAACTTAAAAATTACTTATTTTATAGGTAAATTTTTTTATAATAAATTTATTTTTAAAGAAATTATTTTTTAAGTTTTACCGAGCACACTCTAATAATAAGATGCATATTTTCTATAGACTCACAAAGTCAAAATAGTAAAGAAAGGTAAATACGTAAATTCTTAACATTATAAAAATTTAAAAACATTAAATTTTTACCTGAAATTAAAACTTTTAAATTAATTAATATCAATGTGATCATTTTTTTTTTTTGTTGACAATTAAAAAGAAGTGACATATTTCATAATAATTTCACTGAGGGGTCTTTGGGCCGTTGGATGAGATTACCATGAGTAGTTGACGGGTCAATGGGGGAGGGGCTTTGGACACGTGGGATTTCTTGGGTTGGGGAGGTGGGGGGTGGGGAGGTGCGGAGAGAGAAACGAGGAAGAAGCGGGGTGGACAAGTGGCGATAAGGGCGGGCGTGTACACGTGGCAAAATTGGAGACATCTTTGGTGGAGGGCAATGTGTTGACGTGGCAATGACATCAGCTTGAGAGGGGCTATACCCAACATCCTCTCTTGAATTCTGGGGGGTTCTTCTTCTTCAAAGCGAAGGCGGGTAAGGTGTGAAACTGTCCAACTTTCGGTGATATATACTGATACGATGACGTGGCGATTTCTTCCTTCTTTCATCGCCGATTATTTTCTTATACGTTATGTGTGTGTATAT